TTGCTAGGCATTTGTGCTCCATCACATTGAGTTCAATCTTGAAGGTCCTATTCTGAGACATTGGAGCCTTCAAGATCAATCTACCGCCTGCGTCGAGAACTCTCATCATCTTGTCTTTGATCGACACGTTGTAGTTCTTTTTTACTAGCTGTCCTATACTTAGAAAATTACTCTTCATGCCTGGTATGTACAGCACATTGGAAATTATTGACCTCTTGCCATCTTTCCTCATAATCAAAACATCGCCAATACCTTCAGCTGCTAGAGTATTGTCATTTGTAAATTTCACCATGTTCTTCGACGAGGGCTTCATATTGATATACCAATATTTCCTTCCAGTCATGTGTGATGAGCATCCTGAGTCCAAGTACCAATGGTCCTGGAATCTTTCTTTGTCTCTTGCTGTGACCATTAGAAACATCTCTTCTTCTTCATGCTTCGCCATCTTTGCATCAGTTTCCTGATTCTTCTTCTTTTCTCGGCATTCACTAAAATAGTGACCATAGTTATGACAATTGAAACGCTGAATGTGACTTTTATCAGGCTTTCGTCCACCACCTCTTCTTCTACCTGCATCACCACCTCTTTGGTTGCCTTGGTTCCAAGGTTTTCTTTGATTTGACCAGTTTCCTTCATGTTGATTTCGACCAGTCGAATTATTGTAGCCTCCTCTACCTTTGTTGTCATTCCAGCTTCCTTTGCCTTTACTTTCCTTTTCTGACTGCGCTTGCAAAGCCATATCACTCTTCGACTTTCTTTCAGCTCTCTCAGCCATCCTTTGTTCATGAGACTCAAGCGTCCCTTGAAGCTCTTCCTTCGTCAATGTTGACAAGTATTTCGACTCTTCTATGGCTACTACCACGTGGTCGAACTTTGGAGTCAACGACCTCAAGATCTTTGCAACAACTGATCTTGAAGTTAACACTTCTCCACGTATCTTGATTTGATTCACCAGCTTTGTAACTCTAGTGAAAAAATCTGTTATACTTTCACTTTCTTCCATTTGAAGCAATTCATAGGTTCTCTTATGAGTTTGTAACCTCACCTCTTTCACCTTTTCTGCACCTCCAAACGAATTTTCAAGAATCTCCCACGTTTCATTCGCTGATTTTACATCATTCACCTTTTGAAAATTATCTGGATATACACATTGATGGATTATAAAGAGAGCTTTATAATCTTCCTTCTTCAATTCTTTGAATGCATCCTTTTCTCACGTAATCACAATAAAAGAAAATTTTAGAAAGAAAGAAAGTAAACGTTGAAGAAGAATAAGATGAACAACTTTCGGCAGAGAACTCTCAGCCCACAAACTATGAAAATTCTGTTATTTCACTTGCAACTGCAAACTGTGAATTACAAAATATGATGAGATGAGATGTTTAGAAAATAAGGGTTTCTCCCTATTTATAGATTTAGATTAGCTTGCAACCCAAGGCAAAGTCCAAACTATAAAAGCTAAAAATTATCTAATCTAATCTTTCTGAATCAAATCTGATCTTTTTAAATCAAATATAATCTTTCTAAAACAATAAATTACATATTTAATAGTGAGGAGCTTCCATACATTTATAGTTTACGCTCAAAGCATTATGGTCTTGCAGAGAAATTAGAAGAGCATGCCCCTTAGGTGCTTGGAACCATTCAACTAGAATATGAGAGCTCTTCCCTTGGTCTATGGAATTCATTCCATGTATATAACAAAATAAAACGACCTAAGTTTGGGTGAAGTTTTATGGTCTTGTAGGGAAATAAGTACGCCAATCTGCTCTGATTTAGATTCAACCAAACCAATGATAGATAGAACCCTCAAACATTTCGTTGTCAGCCTAACTGATTGTCTTGGTTATAATATTTATCTAAACTACAAGTAAACCAAATATCATTCAACGATATTGATTTCCAATAATGTTTAACCTTAATCTCTTAGGAATTAAAACTTTAACCATATTAAATCTTTCAGCTTTGCTACCTTGACACCATTTTTTACACCACATACTTTACACCGTATATATTGTTCACCGTATACGGTGAACAATATTTTTTATTAAAAAAATATATTTTTAAAAAAATATTTATTTTTAAAATTTATTTTATAACACAAATATAAGATTGTGTCATTAACCAACTTCATAATTGTATTAACCACAAAAATCTATATCATTAACCAATTATTTTTACATATAATTCATTAACCACTTTCATTATTTCATTAACCAATAAAATACATACTAAATTATAAATATATACATAATATTAACAAAAATCTACATCTATATATATATATATATATATATATATATATATATATATATATATATATATATATATATATATATATATATATATATATATATATATATATATATATATATATATATATTAATCAAACTTTAAACTGTATTAATCAAGTTTTAATATATCATTAATCAAATTATTTTTAAAGAAAAATATATTACAAAGTCAAAATAATATAGAAATACTGTTTACATATTTGTGAAAAGTGAATTGAGTGTAGTTCTTTTTTTTTTGGTGTAAGAATAACAATTTTTTTAAAATCTTTATCTCTTAGCAAATTTTAATCTAATATTAAACTAAGTGTTAACGCAAATTTACTAGTTTCAAGGTTTTTACAATATCTTTAGCCAACATAGGCTACAATGTCTACTTTGCATCATTCACAAATCAAATCATAAATCATTAAAGGTATCTAATCAATAAAAAGAATTCAAAACACATAATAATAATAATAATAATAATAATAATAATAATAATAATAATAATAATAATAATAATAATAATAATAATAATAATAATAATAATAATAATAATAATAATAATAATAATAATAATAATAATAACAATAATAATAATAATAATAATAATAATAATAATAAAATATACAATATCCCTGCAATATAGGTGAATTTCACTTTATCCTGTAATATTCTTTTTTTGAATTCCCCTATAATATATATTTGTTTGTTTTACCTCTTAAACATGCCATTTAAATATTAAATCTGAGACGTAAAAAAAAAACATCAGAGTAACTTTGACATTTAGATCAAAAGACATGGTTCAAGGGATTTTGGACGTTAATCATGAGAAGCTCTTGGCTCTTTTTGCAGGTTTCAACATCTAGACGCTCAACTCAATGTGTGAGTGTAAGTGACCAATAACTTTTAAGTGTTGTTTTTGTTTTTTTATTCTTTCTTGCATTGAATCAAACATAAAGACCATTAACTAATGCCTTATCTTATAAACTTCATGAGTGCCTTTTAACTCACAAAGTAGATTAAAACTCCAAAAATGATCAGGTTAGAGAGAATTATTCCCACAATATTTTATTTCAATATTTAAATGTGAAAGTCTTATATTTAAAAGTCTCAAATATTACATAAGTTATTGGAAATATACAAAATAATGATTTTTAATGAAAAGGTAAAACTAATAAAATGATGACAAATCAATGAACTACAAAGATTATCTGGGTACATGCTTTAGTGTTGTGCTCAAGTCCAACAACATCTAAAAGATGAAAATTCTTCCATGGGGATATTATTGAGATGGACAACAAGAAAGTAATTAAGGAGCATCTCATGCACCACAAACAGAATTTAAATCAACATCATATTGTCACATATCTATATAAGGATTTGAGAGTTTTTTTCACTAAGTTTTCTTTGCTTGAAAATTTTAAAGGAATTTTAATGCTAGTTAAATTAATTAAAGTAAATAGTTCTCAAATACCTTCATTTTCCCCCTTATGAGGATAGTCTTAAGTAGCTCTTTTAACAAACAAGGCCTTGTTAGAATAAACATAATCATGTAAACAAAAGAGATTATCATTTAGTTTTATGTATAAGTCATTTCTCTAATAAGATATAAAATAAATTCAAATAGTTTTACAATATATATTATAGAGTTTATGAGGATGCCAAACACGGTTTTTAAAAGCTTTTCTAATTTTTTTCATTTTTTAGCAGAAGCCGACAAGCTCAAATAAAAGTTGGTTGGAGCTAACAAATTCATAGAAAAAAGTTTTCATAAAGCCCTCGTCAAATAAAAAAACATAACACACTCCTTTCAATCTATCAAAAATTTTTAATTGCAGTGACTAAAAGGAATTAAACAAATAATATACTATTAGAAATACTGTATTTAGCCTCGGCCATTTTTCGACACTATAAGGCAAAAAACCGCCGCTACTAGCCAATTAGCCTCGGCGTAGCGTCGGTGTCGGGTATAGGCTAAAACGATCGAAGCTAACATTTAACCTTAGCCAAGAAGAGTACAGTTGCCTCGGTCCAGCCATATCTAATTTAGCCTCGGTTTAACCGTGTCTACTTTAGCCTCGGTGAAGCCGTGTCAAAAAACAAAAAATAGCCTGGGCCTGACCAAGGCTAAAGTCAAACTCCATTAGCTCACATAATATTTAGCCTTGCTCCTGGTCGAGGCTAAAGGAACATTTTGCCTCGACTTTTTCGAAGCTAAGTTCAAACTTTAAGTCAACAAAATATTTAGCTTTGGCCTAACCGAGGCTAAAGTCAAATTGTAAAAGTCAACAAAATTATGTCTGCTTTCCAATTGTATAATCTATATATGCTGACCATGTTTTCCAATAATGACAATTACGTCATGTCCTGTTCTCCTTCAATCAATTTATCAAAACATATAGCACATATGAAGTAAGAGTTATCAAAATATTACATAGATTAAAACAACAGGAAATTGTGTTTAGATTTGGAGTGGCCACTGATGGTAATTGTGTTTTCTGTCACCAATAGGAAACTCTATCAAAGTTCAAGCAAACATACATGATGACTCTCTCTGCAATAATTTCACACAACAAAAACACATACAGAAAATCCTACCAAATACTACAACCTATTCTCACCTTGACTGCCTAAGAAACTTGTCCTCATGGATTAGCAACTCTGAGGCACATAACAGATCTAATCATGTGTAAAAAGCTAATGATAACAGTCAATCCATAAATCTCATGATAGTAACAGTTTAGTCATTACAATGCCAAAATCAAGAGCAAGCTCCTGCTCTAACTGCGTTCTCGTTGACTTCAAAACATCCTAAAGAATAAAGCAAAATATCTTAAAGCAATAAGAACACTGTCAAAGAACAATGATAAATTAATTAATCAGTGAGCAAACACAATTTTTAATGATATATTACGTTAAATTCCATATATGTAGCACGCTTTGCTAGCCACTGAGCATCCATAATTTGAAAGGCGATGCAAAAAAGGATATCAAATGCCATTTCATCCTCTTCAAGCAGCCGTAGAAAATAGATTCCTGGCATAGAAGATGGACGAACTGCAAGAAGAATAGAATAGTTCATCATCAGATGATTACAAATGAAACATGAGGTGAGTATTGAAAATATATCAACACTTGCTGCAAATCAGGAAACCCCTGTGAATAATGATAATAGTTCCCAAGCAAAACATACTTCTGGACTCTAGCGTAGTTTGCAACGGAAATCCAAACATAATGAGTGTGGCATGATATGACAATATTTCATGGTATCTGTTTAAGTATATTATGTGTCTCAAAACCACATTGTCACCATAATATAATAATTACAACCACTGACTCCTCAAGAGAATTCAAGTTACCTGATTGAAGATCCAGCATCTGCACCAACATAAATGAAATATTGATTCCAGCTACTGCAAATGGATATTCCCACTCTGCTCTGACTCCGTCTTGTTTAAGCAATAATCGCTGGAATGAAGCCTATGACATTGCCAGGTAAAAATGTGCTAGACTAATTAAAATCACCCATTTAATAGTTTAACAGATTATGTAGAATATAAATGTAAATGCAATTATGGTAGAAGAAACTTACTGGATACTTCTGCGCAAAAAAGATGAGGTTCTCTAATGATATAAATCCTCCACCCCTGCAAACCATAGTAATAAAATTCTTATGAACTCTTTCATAATTTTGAGATGTTGATATGTATTTGCAATGAAAGGCTGAGGATTTGATATGTATTAAATTCTAGTACTGTCATTGTATCCTATAATCATGTCAAAGGATAACCAATTTAATTGATATAACTTCTATCATCTTTTCAAGGATAGCATGTTTAAACTACTCTGCAACAACCTAGACAGCAGCCTAACAACCTATGTTTAAACTTAGACAGCAGCCTAACAACCTATTTTAAACAGCAACTCACCAACTAGCATGTTTAAACTACTCTGCAACAACTCTTAGCACATAACCTAAGTAGAGACCACAACAAATTCTTGGACATAACAATGGTTATGCGAGAGATGCAGCAGACTGGAACACTGAAGGTATTTGGCCCATCAATGAAACATAAAAAAAAGGGTGGGAAAGAGACATTATGAAGATGTTGCTTACTAAAGCAATATATCATATATGACATAATTTATTGTTGTTAATTTAGCTGCTAATTGAACTCATCAGGAAAAATGCCACTGCCGCAGATTATATCTTGTTTAAGAATAACTATATTTTCAAATGAAATATCTTGTTGCACATTATATATCAATAATAAAAAAATCAATATTTTAAAAAATGAGTTTTCAAATCAATAATTAAACCATTATAAAATAAATTCATTTCACAATTGGATACATAAAAATTTACATATAATTTTGGCCATATAAATAAATAAAACAAAAGAACGATGAATTTGATACATCAACTTTAAGAAGTTAAAATAAATAAATAAATAATTCTCAAATAAAATTCTTACTTACTAAACCATTTCTAAAATAAAACAATATTAATTATAGTTATATTGATTAAAATATAGTTTAAACACAACTGCTGATTTTTAAAGAATAAAAATTTAAAAACAAAATACGAATAACATAGTCTAAGGTCAAACTGATGAATAATGCGAATGCATTGATAGAGTAGAAAAAAATCAAAAGCATTACTAATATAATTTTTCATATAAAAAAAAATGATTCATTTTGATAAATATAAGCATGCAATCATTTTGCAACACAAAATATATAGAAATTCGTTTATAAATGCTTTTCGTTAAACCAACACAAATATCTATATAAGGATTTGAGAGTTTTTTCACTAAGTTTTCTTTGCTTGAAAAATTTAAGGATGTTTTTGATTCTTAACGCTCTAGCAAAATTTGCTAAGTTTTCTAAGATTTTCTGATTCATCCAAATCAGGATTTTCCACCAAGATTTTTTTCCAATATAGTATATTATGTTTATAGAGAGATTAGACATACTCTCAGCGTTTTCTCTAGATAATACTTGAGAAGTTTTTAAAGGAATTTTAATGCTAGCTAAATTATTAAAGTAAATATTTCTCAAATACCTTCATTTTCTCCCTTATGAGGATAGTCTTAATTAGCTCTTTTAACAAACAAGGCCTTGTTAGAATAAGCATAATCATGTAAACAAAAGAGATTATCATTTAATTTTATGTATAAGTCATTTTTGTAATAAAATATAAAATAAATTCAAATAGTTTTATAATATATATTATAGAGTTTATGAGGATGCCAACCACGGTTTTTAAAAGCTTTCCTAATTTTTTTCATTTTTTAGCAGAAGCCGACAAGCTCAAATAAAAGTTGGTTGGAGTTAACAAATTCATAGAAAAAAGTTTTCATAAAGCCCTCGTCAAATAAAAAAACATAACACACTCCTTTCAATCTATCAAATTTTTTTAATTGTAGTGACTAAAAGGAATTAAACAAATAACATTAATAAAAGAACCAATCAAGTTAATAACAAATCAATGAAAATTATAAAGTACATTAAATTTGCTTACATACGTGTTTAAGTGTTAAATTGTCCGATGAAATTTGCAAAGTCATTATGTTTAAAGAATTCGAGCAACAAATTCTTTGAAAAATCAGGTTGATTCTAAATGATGAAACTCTTGTTGGTAGAACTCTATGAAATAATGGAATCAATTGAAAGATCATTAACTATTTGTTTACATTGGTTTTTGGTAATGTAAACAATTATTATCCATCAATACTTTAGGACTGAATAAAATTTCTTTTATAATATTCGTTCAAGTCTCTCGATTTATGATATTAGTTCATATGCATTATCTAAGAATAAAATCATTGTTCTTATTAATTTCATAATTAATTCCAACAACTTTTATAAAACAAGTTGTTTCATGACAACTTAAAAGAAATAAAACTCAAGTGAGCATTCAATAGAAAGAAAAATAAAGAAAATGAAAAGAAATGTAGAATTGCAAAATTAAAAGGAAAATAAAGCACAAACAAAACAATCTTAAATTGAAGAGAATGTAAAGGGTGGATGGAATTCATCTTTGTCCATCCCTGAACCCGTTTGCCCTTGCGGCGTGGGTGTTACAAGACTTTCAAAAAATAGGATCCAACCTCTAAAATATAATAATTACAACAATTTATAGAGAAAAGAAAATAACTTCCTACATCTAAGATTTTAACAAGTGTCTTATTTAATAATTTCCTTAATATAAGATTGACACATGTCCTTTTGAATAACTACTTTTAATAACTTCCGATAACTTTCTTGTAAGAGTTGTTTGCTTGATCGATGCAATACGTCAATATTCGACTCTTTGAATGACTTCTTCGACTATCTTTTCCAAATCGTTTTTTGAACGTCTTATAACATATCACTTCTTGGTTGAATGTAAAACAGTCGAAAACACCCTCTATCTATAGCACCAACTCTAATTCCTTCGACATCCATCAATTTGTTGCATATAATTCGGTTGACAGTCGGAATACAAAGACTTTAATTTTTTTATATACTAACAGAGGTCCTCCAGTATTTGTCTTTTGACTGAAAGGAAAATGATAAATACTAAGTATTTATATAGTGCACTCAAATTTTATAACTGCTTCACATGTTAGTCGAATGTCACAAAAGAGTTTAGTCGAATTCCACTTAATATGGCTAATTTCGACAAATGATGTTCCTTCGCCTCACTTTCATGTTTTCAAACTTGATCCAATATATGTATTAAAGTGAGAAACACAAGATAACAATTCAACCTCTAACACCAAGTCTTTGTCAAGATCATCAATTATATATTTGTGATATTATCATAAGCACCTCCCTAAATGTTGCTTCTCGAAGGACGTGGGGAGGAATAACATTTTAAATCATGTCACCAATTCATAGAGAATACATAACATCCTCTTTTGAAAACTTAGAAATTTTTTGAAGATGATTTCGACTTCCATGATCAATCCAATAACTTCATTGTCATTGAAACATTTCAAAAAGAAAATCAAAACATTATTGGAATTGAATCCTTAAAAACCTTTGTCGAAAACAACCATTTGTTCTTTAAATCATGTCTCGACCAAAAAACCAATTATCAATTAAACATATTTTAAATGTTGTTGACAACAATTCAAAAGCCTCAAACTGCAAATGTATCATTTGTCTCTCGAAACACATCTTGCATTGACATGCAAATTAAATCAAAACGATTAATCATTAGAGGCCTCTCAAAGGATAAAACTTTTCAATTTCAATCTTTGCAAAACTTTTCAAAATCATTTTGATAAGATTCTCCAATTCAATTGTTGTTCTCTTTTAATAGTTTCGACATATATTTGTTTTAATAATATGACTTAAAAAACCATTTCATGTACAGTTTCTATTTCTCAGAAACCATTTTTTATGCATATAAATTGTTAAATCACGTTAAACTTGAAATTTCACGTAAGGTTCACCAATTTGTTTACACTGATTTTTGGTAATGTAAACAATCATTATTCATCAATACTTTAGGACGGGATAAAAGTCCTTTTACAATATTCATTCATGCCTCGCGATTTATGATATCAGATCATATGCATTCTCTAAGAACAAAATCATAGTTCTTATTAGTCTCAGAATTAATTTCAACAACTTTTATAAAATAAGTTGTCTCATGGCAACTTAAAAGAAATAAAATTTAAGTGAGCATTCAAAAGAAAGAAAAATAAAGGAAATAAAAAGAAATGTAGAATTGTAAAATGAAAAGGAAAATAAAGCACAAACAAAACAATCTTAAACTGAAGAGAATGTAAAGGGTGGATGAAATTCATCTTTGTCCGTTCTTGAACTGTTTGCCCTTGCAGCTTGGGTGTTATAAGACTTTCAAAAAATAGGATTCAACCTCTAAAATATAGTAATTACAACAATTTATAGAGAAAATAAAATAACTTCCTACATCTAAGATTTTAACAAGTGTCTTATTTAATAACTTACTTAATCTAAGATTGACACATGTCCTTTTAGATAACTACTTTTAATAACTTCCGATAACTTTCTTGTAGCAGTTGTTTGCCTGATCGACGCAATACGTCAATATTCGACTCTTTGAATGATTTTTTCGACTGTCTTTTTCGAATCTCTTTTTAAACGTCTTATAACATTCCACTTCTTAGTTGAAAGTAAAACCTTCGAAAACACCCTACTATTTATAACACTAACTTGAATTTCTTTGAAATCCATCAATATGTTGCCTATAACTCAGTTGACAGTCGAAATACAAAAACTTTAATTTTATATATTATCACTATCTCATAAGTCTTAAAAAAAAAAAAGTGTGAAATTCAAACTACTCTAACCTTTCACCATCACAATACAACCTCAAACCTAAAAACAATATAAAAAATATTCCTCGAACACCTTTTGAATAGTAAAAAATCCATATAAAATTTTTCAAAAAAAATAAATTAATAAAAGGTAACTTTTTTATCCTATTTCAATTCCCAATTCAATCCGAATTGAAGCTTATATGCTTACGAGAATCCACTGCCAGCTGGCAATGAATTGCAACTCAAAAGGTGATTTTCGTACTAATTTAAATGCTGAAAAATAAGGATCAAACTGTAAACAGTATAACCAGAACAAAGAAATAGTTGTCGGGTCGGGTTATTGTTTTTCAAATGATCATAA